CTGTTCATTTTTGATGATCAAATTGCAGCTTTGTTTTTTTTCTACATTATTTCTTTAACTTCTTGTTCAAATTGATTTAATTTTTCAAATGACTTTTTGAGTGACACAAATGGGCCGCCATATATGAGTGTCTGCTGACAATTAAAATTGTGCTTGTGTGTCACAGTGAGCAGAGAAGTACGTGTGAACCCTTTTAAGGTTAGAATTACACAATTTTTAATTACATTAAGCTTCTTTTAAGTTTTGTTTTTCAAAAATATTGGTAAGCATTTTTACTTTTACAATGTATAACAATATATATTTAAATGTGCAGGTGTCCGGTGCAGGAAAGCCGTCAAGTTCATCAGCTGGGCAGCCCAGAACAACTAGCGTTTTAGACAGCATGACAATGTCCAGCAGAAAACCCACACCTCTCGGTGGCACATCAAAACAGGGCAAAGCCCCAGTCCTGAAGCCTCTGGCACCCAAACCCAAGTCTAAGGTACAGTGTGTTGCTCAAATACAAATGTTCTCGAGCCCTGCAGGGTCACACACCCTGTCTGACCCCATAAAACTCACTCTCAGCTTTGCCTGCCAGGGATGACCTGGTTATCTAGGATCCTTTCCTCCAGAATGTTTAGTTCTGATGATAAAACATTTGTTCACGTGAAATGTCAGAGGTGTTTCTATTGGAATAAGCAACATTATGTTCTTTAGCCAATGTGCTAGAAAAATCTCATCTCGTAACAGATCTTTAGATGTTTTGAGTCAGTGGTAATTTGCTAGGCCCTGTTTTTCAGACCCAGGCCACTCTGCTGCAGATGAGTGCCTCTAAAGGAAACAGTAAGAAACTGGTGGACAGTCAAACGGAAGCAGAGAAAGTGAAAGCAGCCCCTGCAGCTACACCTCCCGCATCAGTGGAGAATATTGAAAACAGAAAGTAAGAGAGAGAACTATCTTTAATTGTGATGATGTAAGAACATCAAATCATTTAACTTTCAAAATGAAAGTATTTCATGTCAGCAGCCATCATACTAATTATATCAAATTTAGGGATGCACCATATATGTATGATTACTTTTTTATAGTCACCTTTACATATTAATATATGAGAGCAATACTGTAAAACTATTTTTCAAAGACAAAGGCTGTTAGTTAAGCTCTAGTTAGTGCCAGTCAAACATTTTATATGAAGTGAAATACAGGCATATACTATAAAATATAGGAAGATTTGTTATTTGATATAAAATGTTATTTGAATAAAAGAAATTGGCCATGATACAGTGTTCCCATATTAGTTCGTCACATCAATTCTGATAATATAATATTTTTTTGTGATTGATCCGTGTTTAATTTCAGTAGTTGTGCACATTTTATTTGTTTTTATTACATAGTGTATATATTTATTTCACTGTACCAGCAAAATAATTTAGTATTTTTAATGAATTATTTTGAAGAAACTGTGATCATGCTGAAAGGTCAATTAAATTAGATTTATAGTCAGTCATTATTTTATATAGTCATTGGCAGATGACTGATCATTCTTTTTAGTGGTTGTTTACAGTCTTCTTGTCTGTAACTATAATTTACTTGCTTTAGGCCGAAAACTGGCTTTCAGCTGTGGCTTGAGGATAATAGAAAGAGCATTCTCGCTGACAATCCTGACTTTGAAGAAATGGATGTTATCAAGCAAGGCATGGGGCGTTTCCGCACTCTCTCAGCAGAGGAAAGACTGGTAAGACATTTCATTCTTATTGGAGCATGTGACATATTTAATCCACAATTGTTTACTAATTACTCAAGTAAAGTCTTCAGACTATTATTAAATCCAGGAAGGTTACCTAGGAATTTCTGTTTTCTTGCACGTGTAATGGTTATGTAACAGATTTCATTCATGCACTTGTTTTTTTCCACCTTAGTTCAATTTCCTCTATTTTTAATATACTCTTAAAGCTCTAAGCCAATTTATCCATGACAACACTGTTCATTAGCAAATATCCTCATGTTTTCTGATCTCCACTTACCTGTGTATGTGTGTGGGCTTTCCAAACACTCATGCTCTCCTGTATGAACAATCTGTTCGTGACCCCGCACCCACAGGGCCACTCAGTGCAAGGCAGAATGACTCTTCTCACACACTCCAGCCTGGAGGGGGAATGGTTAGGACGCCTGTTGCTCTGGAAACCCAGGCTGGGGGTGTGTGCCGCACTCATTGATCTTATGTTAATGACATGGGGTGGCTTCAGGCGCTGAAAGAGTGCGATACAATGATGAATGGTGTGCAGTGTGAGGTGGGGAACGTGCAGAAAGGGCCCCGGTGCTTATATGTGAAATGGGTCCGATGACTCATCATGGTCGTCTGTATATGTTCGCTGCTTTTGTTTATTTGAACCGTGAACAAACGTATCTGGGTTGGCGGCAGTGGTGGTCGGTCAATTCTAATTATAATAACAGGCTTATTTGACCATTTATTGCTTGTGTAATTTTGCATGAATGTACATAAATCCATCTTATCTTTCATTCAGAACTGGACAGAGAGAGCAAAGGGCGACTCTGACCCCAAGAAACGAAAGCGTGAAGATGAAGGACAAGTAAATGACCAAATGGAGTCGGATGAGGGCAGCGCCAAAAAGAAAAAGCCACTGGATACTTCGGCTAAACTTTCTGCGTTTGCATTTAACAAAGAATAGTACTTGACATAAATTAGTTTCATGCTTATGTAATTTTTACATTTTATTTGAATATTGATTGGGGGAAACATTTTTTAAGTTTTCTCTTTTTCCATTATTTACTGTAATTCTCTGACCTCTCCTTCTGGCTGCTCATTTGTGATCCACTCATTCTCCATAAATTTTCTCAAGTTTGAGCTCTTTTGAAAGCCCTGCTTCTCTTCATTAGCATTCGAAATGAATGCAAGTCTCTTTAAGCAATTTGCAATGTGGCAAGATGGTTAATAAAAAGGTCTCTTATTATGCTTTGGATGGTTTGCACATATTTTTTGTGTGGTTTTGTACTGTATGTAAAACAAATAATCATAATAAAAGATAAAATATTGATTTTTTATTTTATTTTTAAGGTTATTTTGGCTAATTGGCCAGTTGAAAGTACACAATGTTGCTTGCACACCAGTGATGAAATGAAGGACGTCCTTCAAATGTGAAGTGAACGTTTTTCTGATGTTCATCCGAGGTCACTGAACTTTGATTTTGCAACCACTCAGACATGAAATGAAACTAATCTGGACTGACCAGTTACCAGCTGTACAACCTCTTGGTTGCATGGTGCATTTCACTTCAGAAATACTGCTTTTATTTTTAATCATAAGAACATCATCACCCAAAGGTCTAGTCAATCCCCTTAGGTGGTTTGATCTGCCCCAAGACGTCGCTTTAATGTGAATAAGAGCGCTCATCCTCTTACTAGAAACAGGTGGCCTGACGCAAGCACGTCTCTCGACCAATAGCAATCTGGCTCCGTGACGCGGATGCGCCCGGCGACCAATAGAAACGCGCACGGATTAGCCAATGTTTATAAAACCCCCGGCTGTCCCTGCGAGAGCGCCGAGTTTGACAAGAGTATAATAGCCGTTGAACTACACTGAAGTTTGTCCGTTACACCTTAAACTGTGTTCAAAAAACACACAGTAGCACTAAAACCGACTTTGAGGAACCCAAGCTGTCACTTTCAGGCAATCATGGAGCGCTCCAAACAGAAACAAATGAATCAAAATGAAAATGAAGCAGACTCCGCGATTAATGGAAAGTTTGACGGACGGGTGAAGATTCCCGGATGGAGCGCCGGTGGTGCCGCCGGGACCCCGAGCACCGCGCCGTCCTCCAGCGTGATGGAGAGCTGGCGGGAAGAACGCACTCGCAGTCTGGAAGACAATGAAATGAGCCTGCCGAGCATCGCCGCGGCTTACACCACTATTCTCCGGGGGCTCGGGGAAGATCCGCAGCGGCAGGGGCTCCTCAAAACTCCGTGGAGAGCCGCCACCGCCATGCAGTTCTTCACCAAGGGTTATCAGGAAAAAATCATCGGTGAGTTCGTTGCATAAATGTATGACAGCTGACAAGGCGTGTTTATTTATACGTTATATGTGTAATAAATGGATTTATTACTATTACTAAATTATTTTTACGTCATTAAGTTTTCCCCCCTCAAGTTTGTATTATTCTGAAATGTCTCTGAAAAACTCTCAAAGCGAAATTTTGACTTCCGAAACAAAGTAAGCGTGCTATAAATAAAACACGTTTTTTAAAGGTATCTCTGTGTTTTACAGCATTTTACCGTTTTATGACACTTAAGGGGGCGTTCGCAGAGATGTTTCTGGGTTCAAAAACAACTAGACAGCGCGAGAGCAAATATGACAGAATGTAGGGTTGTAAAAGTTTTCATCCAAAAGTGGAAATTCTGTCATCATTTACTCATAAAAAAATATTATGACTTTCTTCAGTGAAACACAAGAGAGAGACATTTTGAAGAATGTCTTAGTGTGTCTTTTAATGACAATGAATGGTCACTGAAGATGTCAAGCATCTAAAAGGACGCAAAATCACCTCAAAATGACCCAAAAGGTCCAAAGGACTCCAAAGTTTTAAATCCCAAGTCGTCCTTACTTGCAAAGCTGATCCACTGTATTGTTGAGAGAAGATTGAGGAATGAAGAATTACTTTTAGATTCTGGAATCTGCATTTAGTCATGGTTAACATGTTTGGTTAAATGTAGCAAGAAGACTATCAGGGAAAACTTGGGTCTATAACCCATAGCATCAGAAGACTTGGAATAATGCACAAGTTATGTACACTTTTATGGTGAGATAGATTAGGTACTTTTTGAAGCTTTACATTTATTTCGTTACATTGAAAGATCAACCAGGACATTCATTAAATTCATGTAATATTTTCACAATCTTATATTTATTTTCGACACTCTCATGGCATGTCATAAACTTTTAGATTTTGGCAAATTGGTGGCTCATTCGTATTAATTAGTATGATCGGATTCATATGTTTTCAGATCTTCCATGATGGTTAGGTTTAAGGCTGGACTGGCATGCCCCCCCCCCCCACACACACACATAAAAATGCGATGTTTCTATTTAAATCACTTTATATGAATTTATACCAAATTGGCACCTCCTAAAAGAGTTACATTTTCTCATGAGATTGAGTTATTTTGGAGTTTTTTTTTAGCCCACAGATCATTCATCTTTTACTTATGCAATGTCAAGCATTTCAGGTTAAAAGTAGTATTTCCTCATGCACTTCCATGTGCCATCAATTTGATTTGCTGGCTCAACAGGTACTCCGCCTCAAAGCGAAGGTTTATCTTGCATAATTGTTCACTGGTCACTCTCAGGCTGTTGCCTACGTGGTTGAGCCAGGGTGCTGCCCACCATCACATTACCAGCAACATCCCCACATAGAAAACAGCACATCTGGACTTGGTTTGTGTAGCATTTTAGGGCCCATGCATATGGAAAGTATTAATGTTGCTTTTCTACACCAAAAAAAACTCCTTGTTAAAGCAGACTGCCCTCAGTGACCTCACAGCACTTACATATGCATCGCTTGAAAATGGTCCAAGGTTCACAGATGGCATAACATGCAGTGTCATGGTGAAGGGTGCATCAGATAAGAAATTTCTAGGGGAAGGTCTTTGTCTTTCTTTAATGGGATTGGCTGAAGTTTGCACCACCCCTGCAGTTTCCTAAATTGTTCTGAAGTAGCAAAGTTTTGTGTCTCCCACAGAAAGACATTTGAAGTGTTGGAGGCAGAAAACAGTTTGGGTTTGTGTAAGGCTGTGATGCATTTTCATATTTTTATGAGTGGTGGTTGACTCATTGGTTAATGCTCCAAGAAAATGAAGCTGTTGGTACACAGTACAGTAATAAGGGCTTGAATGACGAAGGCCCACCTAAATCTTGCTTAATTGGTGATGTCAAAATATATTCATCTCTGGGTTATAATTGTGTTTCAGCTAAAGCTGAAATCTAGATCTAGATTTTTTAAAGCCTTTTTGCATGAAATGTTTTTCTCATTCTCAATGTTTTTCAGTAATTTTGACCAAACAGCAATTGTAGACAAATAGATTGAAAATGTTTAATTTAAGCAGTAAAATACAGCAGGAGTCTAGTTTAAACTAATTCAGGTTTGGTATTTACACTAACTGAACACAGGCGAATAATAATGCTAATAATACTATACACCAATGCAACAATATATATTTTACTAAAACATTTTAATATGTAAAATTTGTTAACATCACATTGGAGGATAGGAATATCAGTGAATAACCTAAATGTAGCCTAACTAGAAGACAATGAAAACTTAATTTTAATTTTGGTCTGTAACTCAACACAAGACTATCATATGACAGAAAAAGACTTTGAAAATAATGCACAAATCATGTGGACCACTTTTATGATGAGTCTTGAAATCTTTGTTGCAAATTAGCCTAATTGTGGAAAAGATAGACTAGGACATTTAAAATACAAGAAGAAACTACTTTCAAATATTCAGGTTTGTTTTGAACTAACTAAAAAAAAAAGTGATATGGTAATTTTATTATTATTACAACAAGTAGCATTGGTTACTTATATAATATGTAAGTATCTTAAAATGTCACACACCTGTAAATATGTTTGGGTGATTATGCAAATTAAAATTTTTGCACCATTTTATAAAACATTTGTCTTAGTGCTAGTCATAGACACTGGTAAAGGAAGGAAGGATTGTGAAATTAGAGAATTATTATGATGTTATTACAATGCATTTATCATTATGTTACTTATGATTTTGTTTTGGTCTCATGTCGCAATAAAACCATTCAAGATCATAGAGACAAGTGATATTGCTTAATTTACAGCATTTAAGCAGCGTAGTACGGTCTCTTTTCTATATTACCCATCATTACGCTCTGTTGTCCCCTGCCCCCACTGGCTGGATGGATGCCTGCCTCTTATTTAAGCGATGGAGAACAAGCCAAACCCTCAGCAGCAGTAACATTACCCTTAACCAGAGCTCTGCTGGCTGACATCTTCACAATTTCAATGGGTTTCTATGGTTACTTATTGTATTCCAAGTGTATATTTCCTTAGTGTGTAAGCAAGTTTGTGTTTAATTGATAGTGTGTGATGGTAGCAGCGAGGCTGAAAGATGACTTCGGGGAGATGCTGATTTGATTCTGTCGGTGCCACCGTCATATGTGAGACCTTTCCGTGTGTTGTTCCTGTGCATTTGAAAGCGGCTGTTTGTTTAGGACGAGCCTGATGACAGTTCTCTCGTAACAGCTGCTGCCCTCAGGTTAAATTCAACAGAGATGTTCTGACGCTCAGATCAGCTGTAGCATTTACACAACACTGCATGCATGTATAGTTTGCTCGGTTTCTAAAAAGCATGTGGGTTAGTTACCAAACTGAATGGTAAAATTACCAGAATTTGTTTAAATATTAACAAAATTCTTACCTAGTTCTGGGAACCACGAGACAACACCGGAAAAACTTGTTAAATCACCTTTATGAGGGATACTATCAGTTTGTCAGGGGTGTTTGCATAACTATTATTACTATTGCTCATAATCATTTTTGAACAAACTCTTAACCTTTAGTCAAACTTCAGAAATGAACTTTACCTCAAATAATGAAGATTTCTAAGTGATCTAATAACTGTGATAATTGTGTAGTATAGATTTCTATCACATTTTGCCATCCAAATTAGGATGAAATAAGGAAAAACGTAAGTGTTTAAGTCATAATTTGTCAGGGAGTAAATAATAAAGAAAAAAGAATGTTGGAAAGTACATAAAGATATGAAATGGAAGCTTTAATCTTTTTAAGGTTTAATCAGTGCATTTATTATATTATATTATATTGTATTATATTATATTATATTTAAAGGGGTCATATGATGTTGCTAAAAAGAACACTATTTTGTGTATTTAGTGTAATGAAATGTGTTTATGCGGTTTAAGGTTAAAAAAAATTTCCCACATACTGTACATTATTGTTTCTCCTCTATGCCCTGCCTTTCTGAAACGCGTCAATTTTTACAAAGCTCATTGGTCTGAAAAGCAAGGTGTGCTCTGATTGGCCAGCTATCCAGTGCATTGTGATTGGCTGAATACCTCAAGCGTGTGACGGAAATGTTACGTCCCTTACCATACTGTGATGGTGTGTCCCGGCCAGAGCGACGAGACATTATAAATGAGGCATTTGTTGCATCCGGTGGGGACATAATTATGGATTATAATAACTTATACCGTCTTTTTACGCGTTGCATCGTGCCGTGAAAACATAAAACCATGTCTGCATTTGTGATTGGAGAAATGACAAACAACAAGCGCTACTCTACACTGCTCAAAACTCGCGAAAAAAAGAATCATCAGTGGCAAATTCTTTATATATAAAAAACGTACTTACAGTCTTTGAGTCAGAACAGCCGGCATTAGAGTGAGCGGCGGCCGGTGGATTTGAGGAAGGAGCGGCTGGCAGGCTTGCGGCAACCACATGTGACAACCCTGGGCTGGACTCCGCTTCGTCCACGGTGAAAGCGGATATCGTCCTCTTTTGGAAGGCCAAACAAAGTAGTTTCGCTTTCACAACGAAACACACAGCGTCTCCACAACATGGTGGCGGCAGCAACAATACTACAGCAAGAATAAAAGTTACGCCTTCTTTCTTTGCGTGAACATTTGGACGGCATTATGCAAATCTTCCCACATCGTGACGTAGACATGTGGGGGCGTGTTAGAACGAGCCGTTTTAGGTAGGCGTGGTTGACTCTTAACTTTTATGAAGAATATCTCTTTGGATTTGAGACTTTAGTCTTTGCAACTTTACAGATCTTCTTTATGCACCAAGAGCTTGTAACACTTCAAAGAGAAAGGAAAAAATTGAAATCGCATCATATGACCCCTTTAATAATATTTAAATAATTCATTATAAAAAGATTAGCAATTTTTACATATTTAAGTACATGATATGGAACATTTTTTATTTCTATATTCAGATTTTATACAATAAAAATAAAAAAAAAAAAAAAAAATATATATATATATATATATATATATATATATATTTTTTTTTTTTTTTTTTTTCATCCTTTATCAAAAAATACTTTTGACATTTTCCACCCCAGAACAGACAGCAAATAAATCACTTAATATTTAATACATTTAAATAAAGAACATTTCAATTAATAAATAAATAGTATATATATATATATATATATTAGGCTTGCGCTGTGAGTGACATGAACAAAACAGAATTAAATCATTAAGTCACAATTATTTGTCAGACAATTAACATCATAGAGACATCATTTGAGACCTATACCACCTTAGCAACACCCTGCCATCGTGATGAAGAGTTTTGCATGGACAAACACTGCTCAGGCTTTTTAGAAAATGTAAAAAAAAAAGAGTTAGGAATTAGTTTCGCAATACATGTTGGATGCACCTGTTATAATAGGCATAAAAATAGCCTGAAAATGGATTGCTTTCTGCCCTCTTGATTGCACAGTGACTACACAGAAGTGGCAACAACGCATATGAGAGTCACATCTCAACAAACCCCTGAAGCCCTACCATCAGTTTGCCATGTTTCCACGGAAACCTTCCCCGAGATAGGCGGCCAGGAAATTAAAAAGCCCCACAAGAAAAGAGTGCATTTCCACGAGATAAAACAGGATATGTTTGAGCAATGATATGAGCTAAGAGAAATGACACAGGGCCACAACAGGAAGAGCGTATGGGGGGAAATATAACAGGTGTTATGTCTCTCACCTGATGGTGACCAGCCTGATCTTGATTTTTTTGTTGTTCCTCCTTGCAGATGTCCTGAATGACGCAATCTTTGATGAAGACCATGATGAGATGGTGATCGTGAAGGATATTGACATGTTTTCCATGTGTGAACACCATTTAGTTCCCATTTTTGGGCGGGTAAGAATAATCGTTTTACCCTCATTATCAACGACATTCACATGTCACCTTTGCAGTACAGTTTTTTTGACCATATTTGAGAGACAAAACTTCTATGGTGTTAATGTAGTTTTAAAAAGCAATTAGTCACACCACTACCTTATTGTATAAGGGTTCAAAAAAGTATTTATTTTTTCTTAATTTAAAGTTTATTAATTTTTATTCAAGTTTAAAATTGAATTGTATTATTAATTTATTAAAATAAAATATTACATTTTAAAAATATTTTTGAATTAATACATTTTTTAATTTAAATTGTTTTTATTTTTTAAATGCATGTATTATTTATTTTTATTTTATTATTGTTATATTTTTTTCATTTATTTATTATTTATTTACTATCCAGGTCATACCCCAAATTCAAAAGTACAGTATATATAGAAATTATCGAATGATTAAAATTATTATTAAGATGAAAGTAAGCCTATATTTGGGACTGTACATTTTTCGCATTGTTACATATTGTGTACTATAATGTGGTGGTATATTATTGAAATTCATATTTTTAAAGTATCGCTGCTCAAATAAGTAGTGTTTTAAGTCAATGTATGCTGACTTTAATCAGGATGATTTTAATTGATGATTTACAATAATGTAAATGTGCTTAAATTGTCGAAAATGTGCTTAATTAAAATGAAAATTAGATAAAAAAAAATCTATGTCTCTTTATGTAATAAATATGTCTTGTAATTACAAGGGGTGAAATATTCCTTGTACATTTCTTTGTGAGATTTACTCACATAATGGCAGCTGTTTTCTGATGCACCTGGAAAAAAAGAAAGTTGATATGTAACCTGTCAATAACCAAGTTAAATTAAATCTAGAAGGTAACAAGGACAAGTTGGAAGTCTGGTGGGTCTGAGTTCCACTCAAAAACAATGCCCACTCTTAATCCTCCAGGTTGACATTTAGTACCTCCCTCCAGCTCATAGTACTGCAGGTGTCTGCCATTTAAGACAAAAGAGACACCGTCGATCATGTCACGCCACAAATGGCTGCTGATGATAGACTGAGCCATTGATCAAGCACACTGAATGTTTTTTCTGCCATTGCAATTTTGTTTGTCAGATGTTGTTGGAGGGCCATCATTTCCGCTGCGTCCCCTGCTGATAGCTCCCTGTCTTCATCGGCGCGGCCCCTTATCCCTTCTCATCTATTTACCTCGCCACTCGCCGCATCTGCAACAAGATAATGACTCACCAATTTCTTTCAGAGAGGCGTGTGCCCGTTCTCTTTCATGTTTGGCCCTCTTGCTTGCGCTTCAGCGTCCACCGTCTCCATGATTGTCCACACAACACTCTTAGTGTCCATCACGAACACCGAGCCAAACAGGTGTGCTATCTTTTACACTTGAAACATATCTTCCCTGCAGCCACCGCTTACCTGTTGGTCTAAAATGGATTAAGTTGCCAAAAGCGCTTTGCTCATTTCCCAGGTGCTCTGTAGTTGTCGGTAAAGCTCGATTGATGCTTTTAAAGGATGTCGAGTGGAGTTTGGCGGCCCTGAAAGAAGGCCAAGAGGGTTCAGTGACGTGCAGGATTATCGCATCAGAACAGAGAGCAGAAGAGGGAAAAAAGAAAATCCTCGCATGTCTGTTGATGCTGCCCTTTCTCTGGGCTGTTTCATCAAATTGTTGGTGACATTTGAATTGGACGGTGGAGAGGAGGTTAGGTTGGGGGGCTGTCAGATGTGCAGTCACTTCCGAGCATACGCACAGATACAGCTCTCTGCATCTTTAACTTCCCATCTAGTGCTTCGATTATGGCAAAAACAATAATTATGATTATTTTGGGTAATACATTAATCATGTTTATTTATTGTAATACGTTTAGGAGTGGGCAATATGGCGAAAATGCTATAGGAGTTATTTTGCAATAGTGATGTTTATTGTATTTTTTATATAAAAACTACTGCAGAAATTGAATAATCAAATGCAAAATAATACAGTATGTTGATTCTTTTTAAAGCTACTATCCACCTTATTTTTCAACGCAGAAGTAAGCCATTTTCTGTGAATGTGTGAGACGTCTAGTTCATTAGCCGCTGTAGGGGAATAACGAGAGGAATAACAAAGTGCAGTAAGGTAAAACGGTTTTCACTTCAAACCAGTATGTTCATAATTAAAATAATATGGTAAGACACACCAGTTTGCAATAGCAAGCAGCAAAACGAGCTGATTTGTATAGCTAAAAATAGCTGGAAGCTGGCCCGCTCTTACGGGAAAACTAAGGTGGATGGCTATTCAGTCAATAGCAGTGAGTGATTTTTTTTTATTGTTATTTTTTGTCTTTATTTTCTGTTCTTGTTTATTTCCAGCAGGTGTATTAGGCTGCTATCACTTTATGACCTAATGCTTATATATACACATACATACATACTTATATCAGTTTCTGTGAAGATATGTGCATTCCTACCAGGACTCACCATCTCCCAGGACCTGAAGTGGGACATTTACATAGATTGTTAAAAAGGCCCAGCAGAGGTTGTACTTCCTTCGCCAGCTGAGGAAGTTCAACCTGCCACAGGAGCTGCTGAAACAGTTCTACTCCACCATCATTGAATCCGTCCTCTGCACTTCAATAACTGTCTGGTTCAGCTCAGCTACCAAATCTGACCTCAGAAGACTACAGAGGGTAGTCCGGACTGCTGAGCGAATCATTGGTACAACCCTCCCTTCTCT